CGGCACGGCAAAAAAAAAAGAAAGAGCTTCGCTCGGTGGGCCTTCCTACGCTGACGAATGCCTCCTTTCCTTTCTCTTCTCTTCAGTCTACAACAAACAAGTGGGAGAGGCAGCATCTTTCGCTTGACTTTTGTGTTGCGAGTGCATGCGTCCACCACGGTCAGGGCTTTCACAGGTATCTTGTACGTAGTTAAGGTGAAACTTTGTTTGGTGTTGATTCTAGACTAGACTGGAAATAACCCTATGACTGACCTAGCTGAAATTTGATGTTGATTCGGGAAAAGCGGAATCCGCGACATTCATCCATCCATACGCAATCTCCGCTTCCATTTTGATACATAGTTGGCCCTTCTAACCATTGGTTCCAGGATGACAACCAAAGACTAAAGCCCGGTCCGAGCTTTTGCACATTTTCGTTAATCCATGAACAGGATCTCTCTCGACACATAGGCCCATGGATCCATACATCTCAATCGGAAAAGAATGAATAGAAAAAGAAAGAATCGGAATTGATCGATATATTTCTCTCGAGCAGGGGCATCCCGTATTGCTAAATAGAGCGCCTGCTCGCCTTTATACGACTTGGCTTCGCTATCGCTCATGACTTGTATTGTGGTCGGCCTAAAAAGTAGTATTCCTACCATAAAATAATGCCGATTATCTAGTGCTAGAAGCTTCGCCAGAAGCAAGCAAGACGAGGTCCCCTCGGGCGAGAAGCGGGCATCTCCCGCAATGCAAGCTGCATTGTTCGCCACTATCCGAGAAGCAAAAGATTCGAGAGTCCAGGCTGAAAATACATGCATAGATAGTGGTCTAATGACAAGGGCCGACGACGGAAGCTCGGGACGGAGCTGGATAAGAAACGTCGAGAGGATCGACGAACCTGAGAGAGGGATCCAGAATCTGAGGAAGCGACTGGAAGGGAAGCAACTGGTCCCGACTGCTGATCTTCTGGAGTAGTCCTAGCCTGGGCAACATAATGGTTTCGCCGCCGAGAAGAAAGATGCTGTGCCGGGTGACTGGAATCCTCTGAGGTCAACTGAACAGGCTGACAATCGGCAGAAGATGCTGAGCAGGATGGAGAATGTTCGGGATACTTCGATCCAGCCACTTTTTAGGAGTTGGTTTTGGCTTGCCCCTTTCTCTAATAAGAAGGTAAGCTTCCAAAGCTCCTTCCTTCAGCTGGTGCGCAGAAGCGCACTTCCGTTTTGCTCAGTCAAGCTTCCTTGTTCCTTAGTGTAGTCTCGGTCTCTTATCATCCAAAAGGATGTAGAAACAGCGGGGTCGATCACACACCTCATAGAGAGGAGGAATACCAGGGATGATAAGGGATAACTAACTCTACAGCTCACAGGAATGGAGTCATTCCACATTACTCCCGTTTTTTCATAGCTTTATTTAAACCATATGGTTTAGGGATGAATTAGCTCACGCGAAAAAATCGGTCGCTTCATGCATGTTCCAGATTGTGGCTACGACTTGCCGCAGGAGAGTCTTTCTCCAATGAGAATGCAACAATCTTCTTGTATGTCGATTTAGCAAACCAATGCCTTTAGCCACTCAGCCATACCTCCAACTTGTTGATCGGAATTTGAGCCCTTCGGGCTATCTGATCCCTTTCGTTCTCTTCTTTCTTTTTGATTTGGACTTGGTTGGCAAAGTGAAAGAGAAGACTCCCATGCCTTTCTTGGTTGGACCAACCCAACCGGCGATTTCCGACAAGTCTTTCTTCATTTTTCGAGCTATAAATATTCCGACCGAAATAAGCTATACTCACTGAAAAAGTTGCATTTTTAACAAAATTCATACCAATTTTCAGAATGGTCTTTCCGGAAATGTTAAACAAAAGTTTTTCCCTCGCATCTCGGTCACTTTTACTTTTTCGTTATTTCGTAATCCCGGAGCCATTGAAAGGTGACTGAAACA